CTCAAGTGGGAGCTGAACATCATCGATATCTATCTATGTTTTGGAGTAAAAGAACCACGTCCAGTACCACAGCCACTTATGTGCAGCGCTTCAGTAAATGTAAACTTTCCTCCTCTAGGTAGATGATGCAATATTGTAAGAATAATTACCTGTTTCCTGTCGAGAGGGATGGTGTTTTCAAACAGGCTCCAGACGACAGCTTCAGCACAGTTAGGTGTAGTGAGGGAGCCATCATAGCGAAAGTACTTGGTCAAATTCTTCTGAGGAGGAATGAACATTTCCAGGGACACACCCCTCAGTGTTGTACTGTTGGCTGGTTTTATGAAAAATTAACAAGACAATGGAGTTAGCAAAAAAATATTAAACGATAAAGTGGTTCAAGGTGACAACTTCATGGTTAATTAATTTATTGTTGGTTTGTAAAAAAAGGTTGTAGGACAGTGTGTTATCTCAATTGCACTTTAGTCTAACACTGGAACAATCAGCAGCAGATTTAAGACACTATAGACATGTGGCTGGAAGATAATTAAGCACAATTATCTTATTTTTCCATGTCAGCAGAAAAGACGTACTGGGTTGTGTGATATATTCCAGGGCATTTATCAGGGGGTCAAACTTCTTATTTGCAGACTCGGACACCTGAAATGAAAGAATAAAATGTTCAAGTTCATTTTTGTAAAAGTTGGGACAACGTACAATAAATATTTAGTTACAAAGAGCTGCATCTTTCAGGGCTTATCATCTCGTTTATATATTCTACAATGCTGTCCTAAAATCTTTACACCTTTCATGCACTAACCTTGTTGTAGGTTTATTTCTCTTTGTTACTTTTGATGTCTTTTCCTAAACATTAATTCAGTTTTTCTTAATTATGCCATCTTTAAAACTGCCCTTTGTAAAGTTATTTATCAGCTGATGATTGCAAATTCTCATAAATGCTTTGTTTTACAAACTTTCTTCTTTTGTTTAATTATTTTTTGGTGTACCTCAAGGCACGATTCTTTGTCCATTTAATTCAATGACAAGCCCATAAAATGTAAAAGAGGTCTGGTGCCAGTTGAATAAAAACAAACTGAAAAGTCCCTATTTTGTTGTGTACTTTGGGATCAAATGTCATATTCTTGTGCGCATACCTTTAATTTCACAATAATGGATTTTTAATTTTGGACACCTTACTTATACCAAACTTCAATTTTAAGCTGATAAACAAATAAAATCACCTGAAAGATAAATCCAAGAACAGCCACACCTGTGCGGTCTCCTACAGCCTGGGATAAAGAGTTGTATTCGTCTTTTATGTGGACAATATGCATCTGTAAACGGCATAAAAGAATTCAGTATTTCATTTATTTTGATATAGTAGCCTACACAAAATATAGTATATCACACTTCCATCCCATTTAGTTCATACCTCCATTGGAAATTGTTCTCCGTCAATCATGTGTTCAGATCCCGGACCTCCATCTTTACCCCAATGCAGGTGAAGTTGAAGTGCCTTGTATGATGCAGCCAGATTTCCTCTGTTGATCCTTATACTTTGGGGCAAATCTAGCTGAACTAGAAAAACATTCAAGTCATCATTTAAAAATTTAGGCTTAAAAAAAGAAGAAGAAAGAAATTAAGAAATCACAGAAAGATTTATTTTATCTTTTAAATGTATCTTCTTCAGGCTCGCATATCTAGGGTTTTTTTTTTTTTTTTGCTATTATTATCCATTTTGCCACCTCTAATACATTATCTCATTGGTTTACAACTGAGGTAATCACCTTACAACTGTTTTACAACCAGATTACTTAAGGCAAGGTAATTCAGTTACTCAGAGGCACACTGACTTTTCTTCTTCTTTTCCAAATCTTCTGTAGGAAATAAAACTGCAATTATCGCCAAACATACCATTGTGACCAGTGTTTATGAGGCGACCGTGAAAGGTGTCTTGATAGCCAATGAACTGAAGAGGAGTGAGTCGTCCATCTGGTAGCACTCTCTTTGTAACAATGTTCACTGGAGACTGAGATCTGCCGCGGCAGTGCTGTGAAACACTTCCCCATACGTCTGGCACTGTGGATGAAAAGAAAAATATCTCCACTTCTACATATTTTCTTCTTTTATTCAAATTGTCAATATCAGTGGCTTATATTGAGGTTTACCTGGGCAGGCGTGACTGCATGTAAATTCAGACAGGTAGCACCAATCTGCAAGAACAGATTTCATATAAGTCATAACAGCACAAACAAATACAAGCCCCAAACAATTATTAGATGAGTTACATTTGATACGATGAATGCAGCTTATTCACAAATAAAACATGCAGAACATTACAGAAATCTTATTCATTTTTACATTTGTATTCCTTAGAGAACGTACCTGCCCCTGAGACAATCTTAATGGAAAATGCAAAGAAAAATAAAACTGGTTCAAGCAGCATTGTAAATGTATCTGTCCGAGTCTGCCTGCATTGAAGGTTTTGAAAGATGATGTCAGAAACAGAGTTCAACCAGACTGTTATAAGACAGGTAGGCCCACCTATTAAACACGCCCACACTGACCGCTTTGGTTTTATGACTCCTGATCCCTGTGACTATAATAAACAGAAGACCTTAGATGAAGATTATTAGATTAATTTGGCTATGAGGCAGAGTTATCAGTAAATGACTAACTTATCTATGATTACTACAACTGTTGCAGTATTTTTAGGCTATGGTATGTTTATTTCTAGTATTGCTATGTCATATTACTGATATTATTATTTCTTATACTCTCCTACCATTAGCACTTACATGACTGCACCCTGCTCAAAGTAATAATTGAAGTTCATCTTTTTGGCTAACAATTATGACCATGTAAAGACAATATGGTAAGTGATATACAGGTACAGTTAATAGTTTCAACATTAAGTTTATTTGGTTTGAAACATCATGTATGATTACAAGCAAGCTGAGTTGATGAGAGCCAAACATGGACAGGCATTATGTCATAATACATTTTACTTATCACATGTTGGAACAACAAGGCAACCAGTGGACTAGACAGACACAACACAACACAACACATTTATGTGTATATAAACAAATGTGTTATCTGGTATCTGTTTACATTATGCATGTTTTATGAATGTAACCTACTGTATGATAAGATAAGATAAAGTTTTACTCATCCAGAAAGACTTTACATACACTCTCTACATACACTACCCTACATAGTAGAAAAACAAACACAAAGTACACTATTAGAATAAAACCCCATTAATTATGTTACTGCATGAGGTTTAAAGTGGCTTAATGTTTTAAAATGTATCAAAGGACTGAAAAAGTAAAAGGGGTCACTAGTGATTCACCAGCAGAGAATTTATAGTGAGCTTTATAGTTCAGGTCATTGTTGACTAATAAACAAAACTTTGCTGTTGAAGTTGTCACTGGTGGAGCATTTAGCAACTAAAGAGCCAGAGATTTCCCTCAGGAGTTATCAGAGAACACAACTAAAAAATATTGAATATTGGACACCAGTGGCCAGAAACAAGACTCTAAATGAATTATAATGTTGCTCCATAACAGCTGGATGTGTAAATTAGCAACTATTTGCTAACAAGTTCATTATATAAACTTAAAAGGTGCTGATTATTGACATATATAAAGTTGGATGACTTCTCTGAAGTGAAGCCAAAACACCTTGATCGCCCTCTGGTGGCTGACTGCAGTCATGAAGCCCACTGCCTCCATGTTAGCAGATGGGCCAAACAAAACAAATGTACATGACAAATACATTTTTTCCCAAATATGGTTTTTGTTATTTTAGGTATTTCTTATTATGCTGATGTAAGTTCAGATGTTTATTTTTTCAAATAGGGTTCATTATAATTACTTCTTTGATGGGGTTTCACATCATGATTAACAGATACCGAAGACTCTGGTCCCAAATTAGGTCACCAATTTTTCTACAGTTGGAGAAGGTGGAAACGCATTGTTTGCCAAAAAAATCAGTAATTGCAAAAAACAGTGTGTGTTAAATGATTTTAGTGAGTTTCAGTTTCAGTAGAAATTAAGGATCAGTACATGGCCAACTCAAAGTTAGGTAGTATCATATTTCAACAATCAGCAGAACTGAGAGATCTAGCCCAGTGGTTCCCAATTGGGTGGGTTGGGACCCCCACTAGGGGTCGCAAAAACATCACAGGGGTTTGCACGGCCTTAATTTTAAGGAGTGTAAAAACAACTTTAAAAATACACAAAGTAGGCATATATGTCACAGGGTAAGAGGAACACCTACATGAACTATAGCCTGATAGAACAATGGTCAAGCATCAGACAGAAGCCTATTAAGTATGTAGCCTATGACTGAAAAAGAAATCCTGATACAAACAGTGAATTGAATAAGAAAAGTATCTAAAAATATCAGGAAAACTCATCTCTGATGCAATATTCACAGAAAATAATCTGGTCAAAATTCATCCAAATCGTTTTTGCAGTTACTGTGCTCAGTATTTGAGTTCATTGTTTATCAGTTGTTCTTTGCTGTTAAAGGTATGCACTGAATATAAAAATATCTCTTAGTCAGAGGTCGTCAGTTTACTCAATGATTGATTGGGAACATCTGACCCTCTTAAACGAAATCCTACAGTTCGTAGTTGCAGTGAATGCAGCACGGTGACGTATTGAACCGCTTCCGTCGTGCTGCGTTCAGGAGCCCATGCCTGTATGAGCGGGGGATCGGCTCTGCTGCCACTTTCCTCTCTATTGTGAGGAGGTTTTTTGGTTGTGTTTGCTGCAGGTTACCGGTGTGTGATGGACCGCTGGAGGGGCAGAGTGGCTCTGGTGACCGGAGCCTCGGTCGGGATCGGGGCGGCCATCGCCAAAGAGCTGGTCCGGTACGGGATGAAGGTGGTGGGCTGTGCCAGGGACGTCGAGAAAATACAGGTTTGCTCTGAACTTAAAACTTATTTATTGCACTTTGGAGGAGATTCAATCAGTAGCAGTCTACGTTAGGTGAGAACTTTTATATATATATATATATGTATGTATTACTGTCGATGGGCGAGAAGTCCCAACTATTGTGACAGTAGCAGAGAGGTGCATCAAACAAAGCCTTATTGGTGACATGTGAAAGTGAAAGTGTAGAGACAGATGGAGGTGAAGTCGTAAGTAAATGTCAGTGCACTTTATGTTTTTAAAGTCTTTCTCACTGTAAATTAACACCAGCTATTGGTATTAAGTGTTGTGTATGCTGCACAATAAAACACAATAATGGCTCCTGCACAAACTTTAACTATATTTAAACGTTTCTGGGTTATACAAATATTATTTTGCTGCGTCAGTGTTATGTAAGATAGAGAAGGTGGACAGCTACCAAAAATGTGATGATTCTCGTGATCACTTTGGATTTGCAGACTAAATCAAGGGATGCCAAAAACATGAAGTATTCCTCTTTCCCTTTACTGTAAATGTAAATCTCCATTAACAAAAACCTCTCTTGTGTCTCAAACTTTGCTGCTAACTTGTAAGAAGATATTTTTTTTCTAACCTTCCTGTGGTTTTAATAAGATAATACATCATCCATCAGTCAACGGATGAGTTAACACAATGATTTTATAGTGGAGGAGGGCCACCTCCACTAACGTCATGAAAACAGTTTTATGAAATACAAAATGTACCTTTTAAAGAAGCAGAGCGGTTTTATTCCACACAGACAAGACAATTAATTAAATGAGTGTAGCAGTGGTCCCCAACCTTTATCCTGAAGGGACCCCCTTTTTACTGACAACCCCAGACTAATAGTGACATATAGTTGATGGATATTTCATATTATATTCAATGTATAACAATAACAGACGATAAACTGTACAATGAACCCAAATAACTGCAGGAAGTTTGTGTAAAACAAGCAATTTGGATGAATTTTGAGCAGTTTTTAAAAATACTGCATGTATTTTTAGAAAAAATGTAACAATCATACATACTATTAAACAATTTCACTTAGTTTTCTCCACAGAAATGAATGAAATGCTGAGATATAAGCCCACATCGTATATTTCTTAGGTTTTCTTACACCCCTTACAATCAAGAAGGGCCTTCAGTCTAAAAATAAATCTTCCACAAGCATAACAATGGGTAAAAGGCCTTAAATTGAATTACTTAATGCTTTAATCACAGGCTTTTCTTGATAGTTTTTTCACAATCTGACTTCATGTCAAAATAAAGCCTCTGAATGGCAGGTGAGGAGGATTGTGTGAACAAGTGAGAAAAGATTTATTTAATGTGTTGAAAATAACAAAGGTTATTATAAAGCTGATTTGCCTTACATCCTTTTCTGTTTTGTTTTCAGAAACTGGCAGCTGAGTGTCAGAGTGCAGGCCACGGTGGTGTTTTGGTGCCTTTCAAGTGTGACTTGACCAGCGAGGAGGAGATTCTGTCCATGTTCTCCGCCATCAAAGCGCAGCACAAAGGTGTGGATGTGTGCATCAACAACGCTGGCTTGGCTCATCCAGAGTCACTGTTAAATGGCAAAACCAGTGGCTGGAAGAACATGCTGGATGTAAGAACTTATTATTTTATTTTAGAAATGAAATATAATGCATATAATTAAATATGTGTGTTAACTGCAATACTTTTGGCTTCTAGTTGGATGGTGGTCTTGTTGAACCTCATCGCTCAGAGCAGCCATATAAGCCGTTATTATTATAGACGTTATTAACTTGAATAGGACTTTTTCACTGAATATATTTTGACACGTGTACATACTGATGGATGAATTCCATTTAGCTGCTTCAGGTTCAGGTGTTGAGCACTCTGGTTCACTGACACACAGTCACGGCTTACTGGGACACTTGAACAGAGCCATCGTTATTAGTAACATCTGTGCTTTTCCTACTCCAAGTCAGAGTTAAAGCTTCAGTTCGTCAGATATATTAAACACTAGACAAAACAAATCACACACAACACATATGCAGCAAATGATGGAAGTAAAATGTGGAAATATTAGTTTCAGCAACAACTAAAACTAGGGGAAATGTGTCCTTTACCTTTTTATAGTTGTTGAAGTGGCTAAAAAGCTCAAGCAATTATAATCTGAAAAGTATTTGAGAAAATATTGATGGTAGTGAAATATTAAAAAGATGTACAAATCTTCAAAATTCTTCAAAGATTCTTGTTAAAATATCTGTGAGATTGTGTTACATCTGGATCTGGATTATCAGATATTGAAGGACCAATGTGTAGAATCTAGTAGCTTCACCCTCCCCTCCAAGTGTGAAGGAGAAACTATGGTGGCCACAAAAGGAAAAACGCAAATGCCCCTATGTAGAGTCAGTGTTTGGTTTGTCCCTTCTGAGCTACTGTAGAAACATTCTGGTTCAACAGAGCAGACTCCATGGAAAGCAACCTGTAGCATCTGTAGATAAAAACAGCTCATTCTAAGATAATGTAAACACAATAATTCCTATTTTCAGGAGATTATACACTATAATGAAAACATAATTATTAATATTGAATTTCTGCCAATAGATCCTCCTAAATGTTACCCACTGGACCTTTAATGCCATAATCTTTCCTTATTTTTGACCTTTCTGCTTGGTGTCTTGCAGGTGAACGTTCTTGCATTGTCTATCTGCACACGTGAAGCGTATCAGTCAATGAAAGAAAGAAATGTTGACGATGGGCACATCATAAACATAAACAGGTGCAGTTTTATTTACTCATGATGTGTGTTTTATTATCACAGTGTCATTTATGGACCTAACTTTATTTTCATTACTTAATTAATCTCCTGATTATATTTATCAGTTAATTGTTTGGTCCATAAAACGTCAGAAGAGAGTAAAAAGTGTTCATCACAATATCCAGAGGCCTAAAGTGATGTCTTCCGATTGCTTGTTTTAGACGACCAACAGTCAAAGTTTACTATTAAATAAGACACTAGACGGAGGAAATGTTGTGCATTTTTGCCTGAAAAATTAATTAATCATATTAATACATGTAGGTAAATGTTGGTGCTGACCTGGTTAACCTTTCCCTCAACTCGTACATCTTCTTTCTGCAGCATGAGCGGACATCGCATCGTTCACAGCGCTGACGTACATTTCTACAGCTCCACCAAGTACGCTGTGACAGCCCTGACGGAGGGCCTGAGACAGGAGCTGCGGGAGGCGAACACCCACATCAGAGCCACAGTAAGACATTAATCACTGTCTGTCTGCATTTAAAAATATACTTTTGTGCTTTTGTGCTTCTAAAACCAAGCTGAACCTAAAAATTAAGTACCATTAATTAATTATAAGACAAGCTCACATTACTCATTTCTGATAATCCTTTTTTTGCAGTGTATTTCTCCCGGTGTGGTGGAGACAGAATTTGGTCCACGGCTCTACAAGGACAATCCTGATAAAGCTGCTGCTTCATATACCAAATTTAAGGTAAAAAAATATTCCAACATCCAGAGTATTGTTGATATAATTACTAGAATAAACAGTATCTGGGCCATAGAAGTATGTAATTCCACTTCTTTTACAGCCTTTGGAAGCCATCGATGTTGCAAATTCTGTGACATACGTCCTGAGTGCCCCTCCCCATGTGCAGGTATGTGAATTCATCTCTTTTGTACATAGTTTTAGTACTTTCTCTAGTGACTTATTGCATTTGTTTTCAACCCTTGCTCTTTTATTGTTGAAAAATCAATAGTTTACCCATACTGAGATAACCGTTACATATCTTTGCATTCAGATTGGAGATGTGCAGATGCGACCTGTGGAGCAGTTGTCATAGTATTGCACCACATGACAGAAGACCTAGTGTACTGACACGTTCTTCATCTGATTGGATAACAATAATGTGAAATGAATTACTTTATCTGAACATGGAGTAACTTTTGAAGGTTGCACTAACAGAATAAAATGTTTGATTTGAAGGTGAAATTTGTTGCACTTATTATACATTTGCGTGTACAAAATTTGATTTGTAGCGAGGCAGTAATCACGTATATATATATCACAAGGATGTAGCAATGAAACCAAAAAACTTGTTATCAAAATGTTAAAATCATACATGCAATATATAAACCATAGAAATACACAAATATAAAGAATATAAAAAATATTTTAAAGAAAGTATTTGAAATTTTTCATCAAAGAGAGAAACAAACCTGTAAAATATTAAAAAAAATATTACAATATCCTAATAATGTTTGTGAAATATTGTACAAAAGTGACTAAAATATTGCTACAAAAAGGAAAATGACAAAGAATATTTTATAACACTTGCTTATCGATTGAAAGGCAATTTAAAATAAAACAGTTTTCTCCTTCAGTTGTCCTGCTGAATTCATGAGTATCTAAAGTACATTAACGTCACCCGAAGACCATCAGCAAATTGGCTTAAACATTATTTACATTTGGTCTAGTAACATTTTTTTGCCATATTAGCAGCGTGCATAGAGTGGTCGGTCTGTCCACCATTTTCCAGGCTGGAATAATTCAATGACTACCAGAGGGATTGCTATGAAGTGTGTGGTCTTCAGAGGATAAAACCTACTGATTTTGGTTAGAACTGTTTCTGCTAAGTCTCAAAATAATTCCTGTCTTTGAATGTTTTCAGTTGATTTTCTTTTTTTCTGTGCAGCAGCTCTGATGCTGTCCTGCTTGTGTCTTACCTCTATCAGATCCATTCCTGCATTCATTCACTACCATCAAACAGTCAGTATTGACTGTATGCAAAGGTGTCCTAAAGGATCTAATGAGAGTAAATGAGATCAAGTAGTAAAACTCCTTAATATTTTAACTAGAGTAACCAGAAGTGCATTTACTCAAGTACTGTACCTGAGTACAAATTTGAGGTTCTTGTTCTTTCCTTGAATATTTTCTTTTCATGCCACTGACATGACTGCATTTCAGATGGATGTGAATTTGTAATAAGTAATAATAAGTAATTTTACTTTTAATACTTATATACTTTTACTGAAATAACATTTAAATGCAATGCAAGACCTTTACTTGTAATAGTTTATTTTACTAAAGTAAAGGATATGAGTACTGCATCTACTACTCAGAGCTGGAAAATGTGACATTTGAGCAAAATCTTGAGTATCAGAGAAACTGTCCTTTAACGTCCACTAGATGTCACTGAAATAGTTCGTTGATACATTTCAGTATGAAATGTATGCTTGTGTGTGCATATAGATATACTGTGTACTGCATGTATGTGTGTATAATAAGGGAACTGGATCTTTCAGATTCAGAATCTTATTTATTCATTTGACATGAAAGGTAAAATGAAAACAAAAGCACAGTAAACTGATGCTCCAGTCACACAGGTGCATTGTGACTATATGACACAGTAGGCTGGATTTTAACTGAGATCCCACTCACCTTTTGTATGATTGAACAAAATCAGATGTATTTGCATCAGTGTCTGAAATTACAGCACTGACTCCTACACAGAGGCTCTCATGGTCCATAAGTTCACCCACAGACCCGTGAGTGGGTGCACAAGATGGTTGTTAAAGCTTTGAAGTGTGGTGAGTCAGTGGAAAATGCCAACTTGCAAACGTTGGAGTGACACAAAGACCTGGAACTGGATTATTTTGCTGAGGAGCAGCATTTAGTTACACTGTAGGTTGGAGTGTTATTCTTTAAGTTATATGCGTCTATAATATTAGCATTTAAGGTTATTTTATTGTCATTTACAATGCAAGATTCAGATTCCTGTGATGGAGAAACTGTGAAGAAGATTAATCATTTGTACTAAATGAAGAGTTCAGACCTTGTTGACTTACACAGCAGAATTTATTGAGGCTCGGCCGAGGAGAACAGCAATACACGTGTAACACGTAGTGCAAATGCCAACCCAATTCTGAAGATTAAGTCCTGTTGGGGGATATGTAACCACAGCCTAGACCTACAAGATCTACTAGTGTCCCAAATATGGTCATAACTTAAGCAACTACAAATATGTAAAGAACCAGTTGGGTAGTGGTTCAAAACAAACTCTAAGCCTACCTACACTACCCTAAGTCACGCTGAATGACACCCGGAGTCACACACAGCGCATAAAGGAGACAGTCAGTCTGTCTGTTAGATTGTTCTTAACCCTTTCCATAACAAAGTGGATCTGCGATATGTTGGGTGCTCAGTGTTCAACCTCATCAGCTGCTCTGCGTAGTCTAGTCAGCCAAACAGTCAGTGAGGACGAAGAGAACAGGCTGTGACCTCTGACCTCCGTTTGTAGACAACTTCACAGTGGCAAGTGGAGAACTATACCATTTCACTCTAATGTAGTGAAGGAAAATGCCTTCACAGTCCCCTTTGTGCTATTTGAGTAATAATAATAATAAATTGTGAATTTTTAAAAAAGAATTTAGCAGTCTCACAGCCTGAGGGAAGAAGCTGTCTTTAAGTCTGGTTGTTCAGCAGTGGAAGCTTATGTGTTTCTATTGATCCTGGTAAGCTGGCAAGAACACGGCACAGGATTTTTTTTTTTCTTAACTTAAGTCGGTTCTGTGCTTTTTTAACCAGGGTGGAGATATGACAAAACCATGACAGGTTTTCTGTGATGTTGATTCCCATCCCATGTAACTGTCCACCTACTCCACCTCAGCTCCACTAATGTAGACAGGAGAGTGTGTCTTTTGGGTTTTTAATCAATCAAATGTTTAGTGTCTGAAAAGGAGTAACATACTGTTAGAGATTAGTTATTTTTATATATTTTAATACACTTAGATGTGAAAGCCTATATTTTATACACATAGATGTGAAAGCTATATTTTTATACACATAGATGTGAAAGCCTATATTTTATACACATAGATGTGAAAGCTGCATTCTTTTAAAGCTAGTACACAAATTTGAGAACACAGAGACCACAGTCTCATCCAGTACACAAAGATAATGAAGCACAGGACACAGACTCATCTCGGGCCTGAGCTACTCTAGCTGCAAGAACCTGGCCGGGTGAGGGACAGTGGTCTATCTCCAAGGTCAAGGAAGCAGCCCCAGCGCTTGACCATAGCTCTAGTTTCCACAAATGATATCATATGAGGAGATGGAGGCAGGGGTGGAATAATTAATTTTATTTAGGGCGCTGTCTCTCGGAATTGGTTGGGTCGTGTGCCAAAGAGACCTGGGACCAGTCTGGAGCACCAACAACGGATGCGCCAAGGTCTAAACCACGGGTTGCGTTCCCATCATATAGTCCACCTATCACAGTTGCTTAATGAAAAACTATAATATAACCTCTTGTAACCTTTGACCACTTCACTCTTTGTTTTGGGGCGAGGAAAAAGACAGAGTAAACAGCACTCCGCTGACTGTGGCTTCTTCACATCCAACAAGATCCTTGTACAAGTATTATTTAATTATACAATTCTAAATAAACTTCTTAACTGAGAGAAGTTGTTTGTCTTATGTCATCATTTTGATACACGACAATACAGACAATATTGGTCATTTGCAACTGCATGAAGTCAATGCTTTCATATGTGATATGTAAAAAATGTTCTACCACCTGTGATGGTGAGAGTGGATACTCTACAGCAGCCCAAAGTTGGCCCACCATAAAGGTGAGGTTTGGCCTGCCAGATGGTTCTAACGGAAAATAATTAAAAATGTTATCTGGAACAAATCACGGTTTTATTTTGTGGGGGTAAAAATGCTCTCTAAATATGTAGCATCCCTAATTAGTCATCCTTTTTTATTATCTGAGCACACTTTGAAGAGGAAGTCAGAAGGGAACTTAGGATCCTTTTGTCACTTTTTGCAATTCTAATAATGTAATACAGTAGGTGTTTGCTTTTGGCCCGCTCACTGTTACCTTTTGGTTTTGGCTCTCCAAGGAGAATTAAACTGGCACTCCTGCTGTAGAGGTTTAACTCTAACATACTGTTCCCTTAAAATCACCAGCTGCTGTTTTACTAAGTAACAGACCACGGAGGAGGCAGAAACCTACGGTCATCTCTTTAGGCCTGCAGAGAGCTGCTCAGTTTCCTCTTCAGAGGAAAGCCAAGGTTAGCCGGCGACTGCCAACCGCCACCCACTGTCTTTCTGATGATAATGAACATCCCTTTACACAGACCCTTCATTTGAATACACACACACAAATGTTGACAAAACACTTGGCTCAAAGTTTTTGGCCAGTCTGATGCACCCAAACAGAAAATGTGTGTCACATAAATGGGGCTGTAGTCTTGAGACGTCTACAAATCGAGAAAATAAAGTGTGATTAATGGGGTGAGGTGTAGAAGCAGAAATGGGCATGTTGCTGTGTTATAATGGCAACATCAATAAGCAGAATTTCATATGTGTGATTGTTGCTTGCAGATTTATTGAAATTCAGCAGAGGAACATTGTATTGCCCTGCACCATTAAAGGAAATTTAAGCCTTCTTAGACACAATCATTTTATGATGATTAGCAAACGTCTGGAGTGGCTAATAATGTTTGACATGGTAGAATTTTTTTCTGCATTCAGATGTGGAGCCAGGATTTTTCCCACTGTCAGCAAAGTGGTTTAACTGGTTTAAGGATAACTACCGGTTGTCTTTGATTTAAATTATAACAAATGTTTTTTATTGTCTTTTTGTAACTGTAAAGCACTCTGTAACAGTTTGTTTGACAAGTACAATATATATTGAGCTACTATAACAACACGTAACCTACATTGGAGAACCAGGATTGTTGATGCTTGGTCTTGCTTCTTATTTCAGAAGATCCCTCTCCCTCATCCATCAGCGCGACACCAGCCAATTTAACCACCACAGGGTAGTTTCTCAGAATCAATAAATCCTCTCCTGTGTTGGTGATTATAATGGATTATTGGATTCTTCTCCTAATAGGATGCCACAGACCGCGATGTCCTCTCATTATCGCACATGGACTGTACAGTATATGCCTTTGTGTGTGGCTCCCAACACAACCTCTCGTATATTTCAAAGCCATCTCTGCAGTGAAAAGCTGGGGTCAAAACCCTAACACGACCTCTGCCCAGTGGGCATCCAGCCAACTCACTGAGGGGGAGGCATCAGCTGAGCCTATCACATAGGTCTGGGAAGTTTTCTAAATTTTCTTGCAGTAGAGCTCAGTGATTTCTGCTTTTAATTACTAAAAGTTACTTCTAATTATTCTGTTTTAATGCACACAGGTGTCCACCAACCAGATGCTACTCATATATAAACCACAGGGCATCAATAACCCCCCGCTGCACCTTTAAGTCCTTTCACTGCTGTACCCCTACCTGCTTCAACACATCTTCACCCCAGTTACAGTCACAGTATATTACTTAATAGCCTCCAGAAAGTATATACAGACTCATAGCATCTAAAAACAACCTGCTCAGTAACTAGCTGGTGAACACAGTGGAGCATTTACAGCTAATAAGTGAGATTTTTCCCTCAGGAGTTTGTGGAGACCAAAAACAGAGCTCAAAGAAAGAGAGTATTAGACTAGAATTAGATTCACCAGGTGGCAAATGAAGTTCACCATATCAACTTAATAGGTGATGGTGAAAGGTCAATGGGTCTCTCTGTTTGTTTCCACTACCCCCAAGTGCCCCAAAACAAATCAGTTATTGCAGATTGTTTAACCTCTTCAGTCTCCACCAGATTTCTTTACACATGTACAAGACAATAAATATGTAAAATTAAACGTCTTTTAATAAAAAGAATTACATATTTAACAAAAAATGGTGTGGGCATGTTCTCCAACTATTAACCAATGTGTGTGTTTGTCACTGTGTGTATGTTGACCTCTGTAAGTGTGTTAATCGTTTTTCATCCTCGTAAGTGTTTCATTTCTTATTTTAAAGTTGTGTATGTGTAATCAATAGGGCATAAATAATAATATATAAAATACTAATATTTGTTATATATGTATTCTGAGTTTAAGTTTTAAATTCCCAAACTGGAGTTTCCATATGCAGATGTTGGGTTTATTAACTTAAAACTAAACAAGACCCCAAAATATATTCCAAAAGGTCAAAAACTGCAGATGAAATGGAAAATTCCTGCCACTTTTTCTTCCCTCACTGAGAGAAATGTTTTTTATCAGAGATCCAACTGTATTAGTCATTCTGCCATTTCAGCTTATGATTGTGCCTGAATGCCAAGCTCCTTTGAATGCTTGGGTGTCCTCCAAAAAACCTCTGGGAACTTGATCTGTAGCATGAAAGTCTGCATTGTTACATCATTCTCAATGTTAGCAGGATTTACACAAGCTAATCTGAAGCTGTAAGGCAAAAGTCTTTCCTAAACATGCCTAAGTGCATTTTACATGTGTGGGTGGAGATGTAATATGGACATCTCACCCTTTCAGACCCATCCAGATAAATTCATCTTAGATGTAAGCATGTGAGAATCAGCTGACCTGGAGGATTTCAGCCTCTGCACTGGGTGTTACAACCCTCATGGCTGAGAGGTGAAAGTAATGTGCAAAGTGAGCGGCTAATCTGTGTGGAGAATGTGACCCTGTTTTAAATCACATAGGCAGGCAACTATAAGACTAAAGTCCCCCTGAACAAATGAGCACAATACATAAACCTGCAGAATTTTCTTGGCGTGGTTTCAGTGCACACAGTATGGAAAGAAAGGTTCACAAAAAAAAATTTAATCAGGTTAAGCAGGTTAGCGTTAATCCTCTGAGTTTTAAATTTCCAGTTTTCTCCTTTTGATTAAATATTTCCAGCTGAGATAACAAGGGAATGTGCACACAAAAAGGATTTTAAAAATAACATTTAAAGTTTATCTATTTTGTTAGCTACCTAGCTAGCTGTCTCTCTCTCTCAGTTCATAATATATTATATATATCATATTTTATCTCAATATATTTAATTTCAGATATCTAGAACAGTGAAAGCATTGACATTGTGGAAATACAATTATGCACTTTCTTGCAGAGTTAGACCCTGTTTTTTCATAAAGCGGTAAACTTTTGTTCACACGACATGGCGTTTTGGGGGCCTGTAAATGCGAGCTTTTGAAACCGGGTTCCAGATTTTAGTCCTTTCAAAACGCCCCCCTTAACGTTGCAGTGTAAACTGTCTGTGATGTTGAGTTGTAAAGTTACACCGCCACCTATTGGCCAGGCATGCATACTACAATGTTTTTAGTCGTTTTTTTTTTATCTGGGCAGTGAGCATTGTTTTCACAATGTGTTCATATGAATGCTGAATGGAAGTCTAAATATGAAGCCAGCAGCCTTTAGCTTAAATTAGCTGAGCTCAAAGACTGGAAACGGGGGAAACTGCAAACCTGGAACTCTCTAAATGTGACAAAATCCACCTCCTACCACCTCTAAAGCTCACTAATTAACATAAATATCATCATCATCATCATATAGTTTGTTCAATTTGTGTTAAAAACCAAAGTGTAAAAAAAGACATGTTGTAGTTTTAAGCTAACAGCTGTTGGTAGTAACTAAATGTTCTTATCTATCAATTGAATTAACGCATTTCCAAAAATGAATTCATAATCACTCAGAAATTTTATTACAGACATGCAGAATGCAGTATTACAAAACATGATTCTCACATTACAATCAAATGATTTATGTCAATTGTTGTGATTTAAACGCTGAAACTGAAAAGCTCATAATATAAATATTATGATGTAGTATTTAACTCATTCTGAAGCAGGTTTATATGATTGACAAGAACTAGCCTAGCCACCTAAGTTGCCTTTTCTTTTTTAGCCTATCCTGCTATCCTTGCACCACACGGCTCATTGTTGTCTAACAGACAGTGCTGCTTTCCTCCTCTTCTTCCTGCTAAATTGTGCTTTTGCTTTCTCAATAGATAACTGAATTGGACTCATGACGGGAGTAGCTGAGGTAGTCATGCGGGGCTTATCAGATCTCTGTCGACTGAGCTCTTCAGTAGTGGCATCTTTGGATGGCGTGGTTGTAAATGCCACTGGTGTTTGTTCAGTTTGTTTAGGGATAGAAGCTCCAGCAGTGAGAGCAGCGGGTACAGTTTTCTTTATTGGTTTTCTCTGCTGTCTGATTGTCTGCCTGTGTCTCTTTGTAACGATAGAAGGGGCTGTTGTGATGGTAGTAAAAAGCCTCCATTCACTGTGAGTTCCTGTTTTGTCAGTAGGGCTGATAATTGCAGCAGTGGTTGCGGGGCTGTTCAGTGCATCACTCATCTCTGGAATCGGAAGAACGGGAAGCACATTTTCAAAAGCTGGGTTTTCACTTGAAAGAGGCGAAACTGTTTTCCTCCTTCTGCTTCTCAGTCCTCTCACTTGTGACTTTTGCCTTTTCAGAACACTAAAGGAGGAGTTCAGTGCTGTAACTTGGACGGTCGCCTTCCCTTCACTAATGTCCAGCCTGTGTGAAACCTGCCGTTCTGCAGCAGCCACCGATCGTACGGTGGGAGACCCAGCAAGAGGGATCACTTTCAGATTGTCCGCAGAGGAATTTTCATGGGTAGTGGCCACAATAGGAGAAGCTGAGCCGTCTTTCCTCTTTTTTTTCCTCCCTTCTCTGTCTCCTCTCTCCTTTGACCTGTTCCTTTTGACTTTGGGGATTACAATGGGGGTCGTGGCAGTGCTGACGACAGGTCGCTTTTCAACGTTGCTCCCAAAGCTTTGTTGCTCAGGCTGTGCTGCTGGGCTTATGGTAATGATGGCAGTGACAGAAATGGCTCTAATGTTGTCTGTTGTGTTTGTTACAAGCTCCTCAGAAGAAGAAAGAGGAATTTTCTTGTTCTTCTTTCTCCTCCCCTTTCTTCTGGTTTTTGCTTTGTGTGGAACAACAGTTGTTGTGCTTGTTTGGGTAGAAAGAGCGCTTTCTTCTGCTGGTTTCTTCTGGACAGTTGTAGGCGATGTAATGGAAACAGACTCCTTATCCATCGCTGGTTCATCTTTCATGACTTCATTCGAGGGCTCTTCTTTTCCTCCGATCTCATGTTCAGTGTCACCGACTCTATTTGTGTTTCTACTTGGCTGGTCCTGTTTGTGTGAGTGACTTATGAAGTTACTTAAAGCCTTGACGTCTTCTGCTTTGCTGCCAGAGGTCGAAACTGCTGCTCCCTCCTCTAATTTAACGACTGTCTCTGCTTTCTGCTTTCTCTTTCTCCCCTTTCCTTTTCCTTTTTGTTTTTTGGTGGTTTTCTTCTTCTTTCCTGTGTTCTTCCTCCTCTTCTTCTCTGAGCTTTGTGTCTCGCCTTTGTCAGAGTCGGTGGTGGAGCTTTGGGAGGTGGAGACAGTTGCGAGGACCTTGATGAAGTCCTCAGCAGCGGTGACAACATTTCTGAGAGAAGGCTCTTCAAGGCCTGACATTGTAGACTGTGTTGCACTCTCCGGTTTCTCTTCCTCCTCGCTTTCCTTGGAATCCGTCCTCTTGGGAGGAGCCAATGTCAGCTCATCGATGACGTCAATACCACCAAAGTCATACGGGACCGCCTCCTTCAGCACAGCAATGGGAAGCTTCTCATATCGTTTACACCTATGACAGAGAACGAATGAAGTGGAGGTTGTGTGTGGTGTTTTCAGAAAGTAATACAGCTCAGTATGTTGTGAATCTACTTAAACACCTGATACTTACATGCCGTACCAGTGCCGCTCTGCACACTGTTCTTCATAGACAAGTTCAAAACAAGGCACACCGATGACATTGAAGAACGCCTGACCAACCACCCTGGAAGATGTGTCGTTCACTTTCCTCAGACAATCTTTCAACCTGCAGAGAGTGAGAGTGAGAGAGTGAGAGAAATTCAGGACATTTGTTTGACTTGTTGCTATGATTCCACTACTGCAGATAACTTTTAGACCTACAGACATAATCCTTTAGTGCATTTGCAAGGTAGCTACAGTAGTTTAAAGTTATGCAGAATTTAGCATTAACCCATAAATTCAATCTTTTGCACTTCTTACTTTATTCCTGTTCTTTGGTGTCTAACCAACAGCCACACACTTATCACTGATATTTCCTGACATTATCCATGCATGTTCACTACACTTTATTATTATTCTGTCTCTATGGACCTTTTTGACAAGTGATCTGGTAGAAAGATCTGTCCAAATTTGAATTTGTATGCATTTTTATTTTTAAATTATACTGTTAATTATGCTTTTAAAAACTCCTGGAGTTTTGCAAAAAGTTAACCATTTTTTTTCTTAGGCAGCTGTTTACTGAGTAATGTCAGAGTTTACTGTTCTGATATGTCTGATTATTACTGATGCTGGTGCTTTTAAAAGGCTGATGCACAATGACACATCGTTTTTAGGAACATTTAAATCACCATATTTCCATTGTACTTCATTTGCATTCCAGTAACCAACAGTATTCAAAACTCCTAACTCTGCATGCAGGTCCCTTTTTATTTCTTCATTTCAGGAGTTTAAACACAGAGGTGGTTGCTTAAAAACATCACAGTTAACTCAGGTATCAGTGAGTTGAGCTACATGTAGGCAGGCAAACTACGTTTGTCTAATGCATGTAGGTGCGATTTAAAGTGTGTGCTGTATAAGCTGTATCAGTATAATAAAGTTATTTTACTCACGTATTATCACAGTCACAGTGGCAGATGGAGTGCCACTTGAAGTTTGTGTGGCCATAATTTGAGGAGAAGGCGTGGATGACATGAGGGCAGTGGTCATGGGTCCGGCAGCAGCTGTCGGTATCCGCAAATTCTCCTGTAACAAGGAGGTCAGAATGAATAAACCGGTACATATTTGGCACAAACACACACACACTTAACTTACTTAGACACACTTAAGCCGTATAACCTACCTAGCTGGTTATAATTATCAGCCATGTTTCCAGCTCCGCACCACAGGGTCCCAGGATAGGTAAAACCTCTCTTTGATCTTTTTACAACCTTGTCCTGGAGCGCAGAGTCATCACTTTCGTCCCCTTTCACCCTGCCGCTGCGAACCAACTTCTCTTTAAACTCCCGGCACATCAGCTTTGCTTCATACATGCGCGCAAAACGCGTCTCCAGTTGCCGCCCGGCTCTCTGCTCTTTCAGTCCCAACCTGCACTCATGCATGAAGGATTTCACCTGCATCTGGTTCACGATGACAGAGCAGTTAACGAGCTTCCCGGCGGGGCTGACGACGGAGCGCACCACCTCGGCACCGTCTGACACCTGGTAGAGGAAATTCTCCCCGACGGTTGACATTTTTGCGCAAAACGTGCCATTGAGCATGGAGAACATTTCTTTGCTCTCCTTCTCTGCGTCCAGAGCGAGGCTCAGGAAGTCGCCCTTGACGAAGTTTCTGTCCAGATAAGACAGAAAGACAAAGAAGACCGACCACATGATGCGGTGAGTGGCCCTTTCAGCACCACGCGTAACGGAGACAGCTCCTCGAGGTTTTCCGGCGCTCTCGAGCAGCCCTCCCACTTTTAAGGCGAAGCTCAAGTGGTGTGATTATTAATACGATGAATGGCAATGCTGGGAGGAGTCAGCCGAATTAACCTCTTTAGATTCCCATCCTGAGTAGAGTATCTTTATCTATTACACAGTCGCAGAGCGCGGACACACTCTGAGAGTAGATATTACTCACCAGTATGTTACCTCACTGAATTTGAACGTGCAGAAGGAAAGGAAAGGGTTAATTTGTGGGTGTGTAGAGCATGAGACCCCAGCATCTTTCACTGCAGAGAGAGATGACCGCGAGTTACCTCCCAACCCCCTCAGCTCAGCCCCCAGAAAGTGGAGATTTACTTTGGGAACACGCATGGAGGAGGTTCTAACTCGCCCCACTTACCATGGTAACAGGCATGGGGTGATTGTGCCAACCCAGGAGATTGGACATCTTTCAAATGCCACAAAACAGGCACTGAATTGGTGATGACCTAAATCACAATGTAGGGACAAAACTCTTTCATTGTGGAATGTGAAAAAAGGTTGGGTCTGTCGCACGCAAGCCCCACTGCCTGACTGAAGGGCCTCGGCAGCCCACACGATTAAGATTGAACTGATAAAAAAATAAATAATAGAGGGATCGATTATCCTGAGCAGTTGACATGGGATAACTAATAGCCGAATTAGTCCAAAATTAGTGCTTCATATTGCCTCTATCGGAGATGTTGCATTTTTACCCCACTCCCATCTTTTTTTCTGTGTATCACTAAAAATGGTGCTTTGTTTAATGGACTTCATCTTGTTAATATGTGATAAATTGTCTTAATCATTAAGCAGTTGCATCTATAATGTATCACATAGATCAATAAATCTATGATGGTATTTTTTCTCTACAGCCACTAATATTGTCAAATTCAATTGGAAAACAGACTGTGTGTGTGATTTTGGGAGACGTGAAATGAGTCCAATTTCTGTTTTGTATTGTTCTATAATGATATTTCAGAAAGTTACTTTCCAGTAAAATGTCTTAAGGAAACCCTGAAGAATTCTGGTGTTCAGATCATCAAAAATTGGGAAGGTTGTTCAAGTTTGATATGTTTAAATTTGCTGTGTCTCAAAATCATGGAAAATGAAGCAAGATGGACTATTTGAATGGTATTTATTCGGATTTATATTGTGCTTGTTGTGTTAGTGACTTCTGAATTATGTTGTGAAAATTATGAATTGATTGTGTTGGACTTTTGTCATTCTGGTTCTGGCATATGGTACATTTGTGGTTTAGTATGCATGACACATGACTTTTTCAGTCATTAATCCACAGCTGCAGTGTTGCTGCACTTTATATCATCAGCTCAGTCAGGAAGGTTTTGTAGGTCTGTGTTTGATCAATTGACCTGTGTGGCCTAACACGGTGCACGGCAAAGTCCTCTGCATCTGTGAACAAGTGCCCAAAGAAAAGAAAAACCTCTTGTCAGGTTGGGTCTCTAATCAGCCCAGTGTTTTGTCACATGGTTGGTCTTACAAGGAGCTCTAGAGGCGGAGATCCAGCCTACTCAAGGCACTGAAATCGGATTGTTGGAAGGCGGAGATAAATGATGTAAAATCACCAGAGGCAACATTCGACCAAATGAGGGAGGGAAAAAAAATAAAAAAAGAGTTTCTCATAAAGTAAAGCGGTCACTGCAGGGGGGATCTGGAGCAAAATGAGCCGAATAATCCTGCTGTTCACCAGGGGATATCTGGAGTCTCACCTAACACAGGGAAACAGAAAGGTGACACTTGATGAAATATGTGTTGTGTATAGATTCCTGTTGGGTGAGGCTCCTTTTTATCGGACCCACACACAGGTCAGCTGCAGAACAGCGCCCCCTGGAGGAGTTGTGAAGCCAGTGTCTAACTTCTCTGTGAGCTCATTTGCCATCCTGATGTGCTGACAGGGTTTACAGATGCAGAATGATTCTTGGTTGTTCATTTATTAAGTTTATTCCTCTATTAAAGCTAAATTGAATTAAAGTAGTTTAATGAGTGCAATAAAGGGTTAGTCCACCCAAATTATAGAGAGAAAAACAACACGTTAGTAATAGCTTTGGTTGCATTTGACAAGAGTTTTTGGTGGCTTTTGAATACTTTTGAAAAACTGTATGCAGTAATGGAGAAAATATTCATATCCTAAGTAAAAGCAGTGAAGTAGTGAAGAATGTACTTAAGTAAAAGTACAAAAATATAAGTAACAAAAAGTACTACTCATTAGGCAACAGAATGCCCTTTGTCATTGTAATGCTACCAGATCAGATATGATATTGTCCAAATATTATAACATTATTATTAATGTGGTCTGGTCGAGGTAGAGTTAATTAAAAAAAAGCGATTCTAAACTGTACTTAAGAACTTTCCACCATCGACAGTTTCCTGGTGTCATAATCGACAGACCTCAATGTGAACAGTTGTTTTTGCTGTAACCTGAGTAACTAAGTTAGATATATCAAAAATCTCTGCTTTGTCTTTTTTGGGTTATTTGGGCCCTTTAAAGCAGCTATGAATAACATTTTTAGAACACAATTGGAAACCACAGAGAAATGTCACCTGACTCTGTAGCTCCCCACAGCTCTAAGGAGCTTTATGGTGTCTTTCAGCTCATTGTTTTGGTTTAATGACCCAAAACCTTGATTTAATGTAGTCTCACTGCTCTCATCTGTTCTTTTTTGGCTTCATCTGACTGCTGTTATCAGCAGAAAAGCTCTAAAAGCCCACTGTACACTAACTGCTCAGCACCAAACAGGAGTCAGGCAATGTTAGCAGCTAGCTGGTGAACACAGTGGAGCATTTAGCCCCAAAAGCTGAGATAGGGTGGACAGAAACATAACTCCAAATGTATGATAATGTTGCTCCATAACTGTTTGATGTGTAAATAGGTTTGTTAAAAGTTGGTAATAGTCTGTCAGTGTTGTGTTTACTGCCCTCAAGTGGCCAAAAATGTGTTACTGCAGGTTTAAGCATTTCTCCAAAAGATATTTGAAAACCCTTTAAACCAACACCATGAGCTCATACAGCACAACAAGTCAGATATGTGAATATCTGCTGAGATCTATTACTATGTAAATCCTGTAAGTGTGCAAACAATGTGCAAAAAAGAAACCACATGAGCATTCCTGCGTTAGCCTACATTTATTGTAAGTTCATAAGGTTCAAGGTACATGAGGCAAAACTGTGGGAAAGTACTGTTACTGTTGGCAGTAACAGCTTGAACTCTGTTGCACAAAACTGAGATGAAATTTCAGATCTGTTTATTTAATAATTGTAATAACCTTTCCAGTCTGAGAGCTGGGAAATATACTGTAAATACAGTAAGAAGATGGACTTTGTTGCTCCAGCAGTGAACAAGTTCGGAACCTGAGCTTACTTAGACACCGATCCTCCAGTGATTCTAAACACCTGAAGTCGAACACCTGAAGGCCGCAGCTCGGAGCGGCTTTTAGAATAACAACCTGAGGAATGCACAAAGTGGAAAATGAACATTTTCAGAGGATCATTAGTCAGTCTCTCCAGTCCAGTGTTGATACTCAGTTATAATCAAGGAACTACAGTGTTGGGTTTGTTTTTGGTGCACTATCTCACAGATGCACCTTGAAGATCTACGTTTCATCACTTCAGAGTTTGTTGGCAGAAATTAATAATAATTTTTAAGTATAGAGCGCTTGCAAAATCCACGTAAAGTGCTTAACAAAAAATGAAATATACATGAACAAATATACACAACAACGTAACGTAACATTTAGGAAATAAAATATAGTTAATTCAAAATTAAGTAAAATCAGGAATGACTCTCCGATAAAAGTATGTTTTAAGTGGGGACTTAAAGGCGAACCTGATTTCCTGATTTCCATAAGAGTTGAATCTGTGTCTAGATATAATACAAACCAGTAAATATTTCTTTAGAGGATGCAACACTGACCCCATGTGAAAGGTGGCTGCATTTTAAACATAATTAACAGCAAACGTCTGATCAAATCAAAACAGTATTTATCGCATTAATTCAATGTAGGAGCCAATAGTGAAAATTATGCAATTGATCTGATTATTATCATTAACATCACACAATGTCTTTTAGCTTGATGATCAATATTGAAAAACAACATTGCAATGCAACAACAAATGTAACATGTACTGCAAACTACAGATACCTAACAATACCATTTACAAATGCCAAAGTATAAAACAGAGAATAAAAAGCATCTTTTAGAAACGTAAAAAAGTTATTAAAGTTATCATTCAATCTGCTCTTTGACCTGTAATATCATACAACCATAATGTCAGCTTGACAAAAAAATGACTGTAACTCCTAAAAGTTTTAGGTCTCTGCAAGTTTAGGTTCTCATACAGTGGTGACATGAATGGAAAGTAGTAGCTAAAAGTAGCAATACTACAGTATTAAAACATTCTGTTACAAGTTTTGCATTCAAAATCTTAAGTAAAAATACAAAAGTATTAGCATGTATTAGTCCCAAAAGTATCAGAACTCACTATCCAGAATGGCCAATTTAAGTTGTAAGTAAGATCAACTAATTGATATACTGCCAGATAGCTTAATCCATAATAATGCATCACAATTTAGATTATATTGAAGAATCGGAATCAGAAACGTAACAAGTAACTTATATTCTTAAATAAATGTTACGGAGTAAAGGTGTGCAAGTACAGTACTTAAAACCTGTACATGGAACTTTCTTTCTTTTTTTGTTGTTGATTCTGGCGGCCTCTGTGGACAACAGTGGTAGTGTTTCTACCGACCTGTTTCATTGATTTCAAGGGGGATCTGACCCGGTGACATACTTTAACAATAACCAACCAAAAATTCTCACCGATGGTCTTGTGTGGTTATTCACGTCATATAGAGGCACTGAAGTAATTAAAACACTTTAGGATTTGTAGTAAATTAGCTAACTCATGCAAAATAGCAGTATGGTCTCTTTAATGGCAAAACTACCATAAAACAAGAAGGTGCTGGATACCTAAAAAAAGAATCTGCACACATCTCCTAGCAGAAAATTTATTATCTAAGCTTTTGGTGACAAAGAACCTGGCTGAGACTGGTCATCAAATCATTAGCTGACTTGATTTTGAATGAGAAATCAAGCACCAACAGCAGAGAGAGTATAAGTAACTATGTTCAGTGTTATTAACAGCCACCTCCCACCCACCACTCCCCCTGCTTGAACTTGATATGGGCAACTCTTTCTCTCATTCACGGTCCAGTTCATTCTCCCTAGTTTCTCCCTTTAACAGCGCAGACACTGTGTTGTTTTTTAAATGGATGTTTTGGCCGTTCCTGCAGACAGACATAAAGGATGGTACCTTTCTCTGATGGCACCAAACACAAAAGGACCGACGTTTGCCTGGCTGGACCCGTCCAGACTCTACTGCAACTCACAGGTACGATTCTGTGAGTTGCTTTAATAAAGGATGATTTCTAGTTACTTAAAAGGTTTGTTGAGCTGTTGACGCTGTTTCTAGAGTCTTCCATCTCACTGAACACAATATAAGACCCATTTAAAACCCTCAAAAAAAAAACAAGCTGTGTGTGTATTTTATATGCACACTTTGTACTTTGTGCATTTACTCTCTTTGCACTCGATTCAGGCTCTTGCAGACTGTGTCAAAGACCTTGTCAGTCCATTCCACAATGACACCATTGACCTGGTTGCTGGGATAGATGCAATGGGATTCATTCTGGGTAAGAAAACAAACCAATTCATTTTAAGAAGGGAAATAAATGGTAGTTTAAGAGCAATCACACTTTGTGTCTCACACTAGTTTTATTTTAAGAGGCAATTACTCTAATAGTACATGGGTCAGGAAACCTAACCCCTCTCGCAAAGATACTAAATTTAGATATTTAGGCTCCTCCAAACCCTGCTTCACATGGCATGACAATGCATGAAACCAGTCATCCTGTTCAACAGATAATTTCTGATATATCATTCTGTCTGTGAATGTTTTTAATGTTTTTTCAGGGGCGTCTGTTGCCACCACCCTCGGAAAAGGTTTCCTGGCTGTACGTAAAGCAGGACACCTGTGTGTCGCAACCCAAAACCAAAATTACACTGACTACACAGGCAGAGAAAAGACTATGGAAGTAAGACTGGATGTGCTAAAACCAGGTTAATCTTCCTTTACTTTTTACCCTTTAACCATGTCAGTTATTGTTTCTCTTGAGAAGATGAATGTTTACCCAGCTGACAATGTTTAATTAACCTTAGGGTTATGACAGACTGAGATAAATATATATTTTTTAAACCACATTCGAGTTTGAATGTTGTGTTTTTTATAAATTCTTATCAATAAGTTTATACATGTGTTATTTACGCTTTTGTGTTTTAATTGGATCATTTCCATACAAAAGGCAAAAAACAGCTTCAGTAATTACTTAGATCATCATCTGCCACCAAAACTCTGTCCGAAAACACTTCAATGCACAGCTGTATTAAAATTAGGATAATAAGCAGAATTTAAACATATACATTTTTTTAGGATGATAAGGCTATAATATACTTATTTCTGTTATGTATTAAAAATCAATAAATCAACAAAGGTTTTCATAATCAATTAATCTCACCATATTTCTTGTCTAATGTCAGAAAATAGTGAACAATGTTTATGATAGCTTTCAGCAGCCCAAGGTTATGTTTTAACAGTCCAAAGCCCAAAGACTTTCAGTCAATATATGACAAATAAAAGCATCAAATCCTCATATCTGAGCTGGAACCACCAAATAAAAAATGTATTAATATTTAATTGATTATGAAAATAGCATCAGATTCTGTCTATCAACAAACTTAATAGAAAAATCACTGCAGCTCTAAATTTAACCTAACACCTGAACAATACATGATCCAAATGATTTAAACCAGAAGTTTCTTCAACTTTATGTCCATTTATTCCCTGTGTCACAGTACCCTCTAGTGGTAATATGTGAATTAAAGACCCAAATGGTGCTCAAAAGATTTGGAGAAATATCTTTTTAGACTTTTATTGGAGACTTATTTATTTATTTATTTTTAACATGGAGGATTGCTGCAGCAGCAGATGTTACTGTTAGATTTAAGTTTGATTATTTATTTCATTTTTTTTTGTGCACATTTACATTTGTACATGCAAACACTAAGACTACAACTAACAGAGTACTCTGGTAGCTCATCTGGTTGAACATGTACCCTTCAGTCTTTACTGCAGTGGCCCAGCTACGCAGGGCCAGGTTGCTTTATGTTGCAGAAATTAAACAAACTGAACCAGTCCAAGAAAAAATAAAAATAATAAATAAAAAAATAAAGACATAAACTCTTTAAATACTTAACTTTGTTAACAAAGTGAACACTTCAATAAGGATAGCTTAAAAAAAAGTGAAGAGCTGACGTGTCTCCCTCCTTCAGGTGTGAGGGTGCTGCTAGTGGACCAATGGATAGAAACTGGAGGCACTATGAAGGCTGCGATCCAGCTGGTGGAGCAGCTGGGAGCCACTGTTGTAGGTCAGTTAAGAGGGTTACATTATAACGCCAGAATTCAACGATCCCGAACACCTTTAACGTCAATATCACACTTTTTTTCCCCTGCAGGTGTAGCAGCTGTGGCCATTGAGAACACTGAAGGAGGAAAGTGGATTAAAGAAAATTACAAATTCTCTCACTGTATCCCTGAAGAGCTCCAGAACCAAATTGACCAGAAGTATCTCAATTCCTTCAAAAGCTTCAAAAACTGAACCTGAAAAGATGATTTCTTACAACTTCAGTATTGAAAAAAAGGGGAATAGTAATATTTTGTAAGGCTAAGATGGTCAAGAAATAGTTTTATCTGCATAGACATGATGTATTTTTTAAACAAATATAGTGAAATCCCCATTTAATGATGTTTTAAAGTTATACTGTGAATTCAACTTAACTGTTCTTGAATACATGCATACATACTGTTCTTGTTATTTTCAAAACACTTTTTTTCTCTTTTTAAATATTTTTATTACATGTAAAACATACCATGGTATATTTTAAAGAAAATAAATGATAAGATAATCGTACGGTAAAGTTTTTGATATGAAATCCAAATTCATTCATTGATTTGACTGTAAACAAACAGCAAAAAGTACCTATGAAGCATTATTAACATTTCCCAGTCTGCATCTACAACAACAGTTCCCACCTGGAGGTCGGGGCCCCACAAATCTGGGGGGGGTCGGGTGATGATTAACAGGTAAGAAAAAAAACATTCCCGCTACACAAAATTCTGTTTATTTTTTCCGATTTTCCTAAAATATTTTACTACAAAATCTATTTGCTCACAGAAAGGTTGGGAACCTGTAAGAGTATAAACATTTAAAACTGCAGACTTTAACATAAACCAGAGTATTATTGTGAAGAAAAAGTCTCAATTGTTAAAGAAACTACAGCAGCAAGACAGAATATTTAATTCAAGCCCTAAGTAAAGTAAGCAGCCACACATACATCATGATATAAAACAGTCATTCTTTGGCATCTCTGCAGTACCAGAACAGGCATTTCTGTGTCATTTCTGTGTCACCCTGTAACTCCAGACAAGTTCAACTGAGCAACACCACAAGAATCCACATCCCACAGAGTAAAAACTTGTTCCAGGCCAGGAAAAACTGAACTCAAAGATGTCAGGAAGTAAAACTCCAGCGTCCCTCCTCCTGCTCTGACCACAGAAAATCCCTCCCATGAGCTGGAGAGCAGCCACAGTCTTTTTCCACTGAGAAAAATCCTCATTTTCAGTCCGCACCTTTGACTTAAAACTCCTGCTTATATCCTTACTGACAGCAGTTAGGGTGTTTCTTCTTCGATCCAGCATTCATATTGTTTGAAGTGCTGTTAATCCCTAAAACAAGAGATCAGCTGGATGTTAAACTATGTCACAAATGTGATGGTTTTTATTATAACAGAGATCATTTGGGTACTCACTGACAACGTCCCCAATCTGCCTCGATCCACTTTTCTCCAACTCAGCGAGAACATTAGTCTCAAAAGCCAACGATGCAACTCGGAAGAAAAACTCGCTCACGTTTTCCCCTACAGCGTGGACGAGAGATATGGATCAGTGAGGGACTGCCACAACCTCCTCAACTAATAATTTTCAAACAATCCCCAAGTCAATGGTCGGATTACTGGTCATTTTACCGTATCCACCACCAAAAACTCACCTGTCAGCGAAGACACAGCCCAATACTCGGCTCTGATCTCTTGTGCTAGTTTGAGGGCATCTTGTTCGATCTGAGAATACTGAGCAGGAGACTGCGAGAGAAACAAGAGGCGACCAAGTTAGATACAATGTAATCAAGTTAAAACTGCAGCCACAGAGGTCTGGTAAAATCACTTCTACCCACTATGCCAACAGATTTATTTCATTTTCTTCAGCCTCAACCAACACTAACTCCAGTGACATCACTCAGGCTCTGAAGCCACCAAAGGCTTCATACAAGTTTTTTAGCATTTGTAGTAGTACTACATTAGACCTATGAGCAGACTTTGATGTGTAAAATTGACAGTTTTCCTTTAAAGTATTGTACTGTAGGACTTGCTGCTGAGTTCAGAATATCCAGATGATAGACAGATACAATGTATACCACAGTAGAGAGGAATGATACCAGGCTACAGTAATTAGAGCTGCAATTATTAGTTGCTTTATCAATTTGGTAACTGATTAAGTCTTTCTTCAGCAAAAAGTATGAGGATTTGCTGCTTTTCTTTTGCTGTGTTTCATATCAGTGAGATGTGATTATCTTTTTGGACTGTTGGTCGGACAAAAGAAGACATGATGTCAGCTCAGGCTTTACGAGGAAATTGGTTATTGTTGGAAATTAGAGCAAAAAAAGACTAATTAACTGTATCAACAAAAATCATAATGAAGTAAAAGAAGAGAAACATTCAATAATTAAAAACAAACTTCCTGAAATGGAAAAGTATCCCAGGTATCCCCAGCGCTTCCCAGCACTGATTAAAAACAGCTAGTGATGTCTTAGAAATGTCTGTTTGTCCATCACTTCAACTTCTCTCAGAAATGTGTTGGAGTCTAGTGAAGGATGGGGAAACCACATTCCTGAGGTTTGAGCCAGCACACAAACGCTTTGTGCTGCTGGCACCGATCCAAACCTTTGACATTTGACTCCACTAAGAGACACAGAAATGTTCACAGGCATGTCCACTTTAAACAATAAAAGACGTACGCTCAGGTCTTTCTTCGTGCCTACGAGGAACAACTGAACCGCGGTGGGGTCGTTCTCTTTTAAGGCGTCTTCCAGCCACTGCCTGCAGACAGAAAAAGACAACTTTAAACCCTCCAGCTGGGAAAAACTGAAAGAGTGCAAATAATCTGCTCATAATAAATAAGCTTACCTCACATGGCCCAAAGATGCAACATCATTCACATCAAACACAATGATCACAACTGGAAGACAAGAAAATATTGTTTTATTAAAATGCTTGAACAGTTTTAAGTGGGGTTTTTTTTAATGCAACACAAACTCCAGAGAAAAGATAAGTCTTTAGTACATTTCTTATTGTTCTAAAACACACTAATCTCTCACCCTGGGCTCCTCTGTAGTACGTAGAAGCAATGCACTTGAACCTCTCTTGTCCCGCAGTGTCCCACCTGTAACAGAGAGACAGAGACTGGTAAGCAATGTCACATCAGACTGACTTTGTTTTATGTATAATAATAAAGACTTACAGCTGGAGGCTGAAAGGAACTCCCAACACCTCAAACCGCTCCATCTCAAAGTCGACACCGATCGTTGCCTTGTAGTTCTTATCAAAAGCATCTTTGCAAAATCTGAAAACATAAAAACATGTCTTAAGAAAACACAGGAAATACACAGCTCCGAGATTGTAACTGATGGATGTGAATTGACAATTTTTTAAGGGTTGGTTCACCCAAATTACAGAAAAATAAACTGTATTTTAGGGACTATTTCTTTGGTAAAATGACAACTGCGGACAGCGTGTTCTGTGCATTTTTCAAAGTAAGGGCAGACTCACACATACACGAATGCAGGCAAGTGACAAAATGTGGGAAGTGCAGGATGTGCCGCACGCGGAAAGAGGTCGACCACTTACTCACACATTTGTTATTGGCTTAGGCTGCAACTTCGCCAACTCCATGCGAGATGCAAATCTGCTTTGCCACCTGGTGTTTTTTTTGCCCTTTTGCTCACACAGAATGAAAGTGGGAGGTGAATATTTGCCAATGCTGAATTTGCGTTGATGTGACCCTAACAGGGAAAAATATGCTGCCTTTTAAAATGTTTGAGCACAGGGTTGTAGCAGTTTGAGTTTTTTTTTTATGGTATATCTCAGAATCATTGTATAACTGTATACAATATAACACCATAATTACTATTATCATCAGTTACAACCACCCTTAGAGGAATGAAAACAGAAGGATGAACCAACCATTACTATAATTTCACAAAATATTATGTCCTAGATTTTACCAGTGATAGGCATAGTAATATGTTTCTGTTTAATGTGGGTGAACTGGTTCTTAAAAGCACTGTGAGATAACAAAGGCATTTTAAAAAATATTTTAAATTTGAATTTGGATTTCAATGAAATATTTTGAGACGTGTATCCCATCATTGTCTATTACTGTGTGTTTTAATGCAAAACTGCATCCAGATGCAGATTTAACATTTCTACACTTTTAAATTATGACATTGTGCTTCTTTGTAGGAGTTACATGAGCTCTGAGTTCCTTTTTATTTAAGTTATTTATTTCCCAGAACTGCACCTCACCCTGCCTTTGTGCATTAAGTGACTGTGCTTGAGCTTACCTATTAATCAGACAGGTTTTCCCCACAGCCAGGTCACCCACCACAATCACCTTAGAGATTTTAAATCTGCTGAGAGGAATAAAAAGAAGGTGCAAGAAGTAAATAAGTGCCACAAAACATCACATCCAGTATTGCCTGGTTTCTGGTTCCTGTGCTCACCCCACAGTGCCGGTACGCTGCTCCTGGCAGGCAGTCTTCACTTTATTGTTGAAGTCCTCCTTAGTGTGCAGAGCTGCCTCTTTCCTGAAATACTACAAGAGAGGAGGATGAATTTGTGAGGCTGCACACTGTTTTAGGTAGACAACTAGGCTATAAGTGCTATATGAGTTTACCTGAGGGAGCTGAGCGATTATACGGTCCCTCCGTACCGGAGGAAGAACACTCATTGCTGAAATTCGCACAGACATGAAGCTTCGAGGTAAATGTTCAGCAGAGGGACATGTAGTGAGAAAAAGAGAGCCGCATCAAAAATCTGACATGTTTTACTACTGAAAGCTGTTTCATAATAATATCTAGACTGCGACGGAGTGATATTAAGGCCCAATCATCAGTCCTGGTGCTTATTATTCCTGTTGCAAAACTTACAAGATGTAAAAGAGGCTTGTAATAAACAAAAATATAATTCTACAAGCATTTCTTGTTACAGTCGAGGATTCTAAATCAGTTAGTCAATCAACTGCAGATCATGAGACAACTATTTTGATAATCAATTAATTGTTTCAATAATTTTTACTGAGAAAAGACAAACACATATGCCCTGGTTCCAGCTTCTCAAATATAAGGATATGCTGCTCTTCATCATTGTATATGCATGTATAATGTATACTGTATACTATATATACACCATATAATGCACTGTATGCATACTGTTACTGTCTACAGTATTTGCAATTGTAAATCAAATAGCTTTGCTTTTTTAATAAGACTAGGGCACCAAATAATTATTTTGATTATATATTAAGAGCCCAAAGTGTCAAAAAAAAAGATATTCAATTTACAGTCATATAAAACAGAACCAAGCCAGTAAATATTTACATTGGATAATCAAAATAGTTGCAATAGAAACCTGCTCAGCAAATTTGTTGTTTTTTTTCCCTCCAACTTTTATCAATTATGAAAACAATCATTAGTTGGAGCTCTACTGAATATCCTGTAGAGCTTTTTGGCATGTATATATACAGAAAGATACATAAACAAAATGTATATCTAATGTAATCAGCTCTAATGTTTGCTCTAAATCTGAATTTTTGATTGATCAACAACAACAAAAAAACTCATCTGCAATTATTTTGATAATCAATTGATTGTTTCTGTCTCCTTTAAGCAAAAGTGCCAAAAATCCACTGGTTCGACTGCTCCAATGTAAATATTTACTGGCTTTCTTAGACTTTTCTCATAGTAAAACGAATATTTTTGAGTTTTGAACAGGACAGACAATTTGTGACATGATGACAATTAATCATAAAAATAGTCTACAGATTACTCAATAAAGAAAATACTTCTTACTTGCACTCTCTTGTCAGTAGTCTCAGTAGTTTTGTTTTTATGTTTTGTTTTTATGTACTTGTGGGACAATAAAGATCTCAACTGACCTAAAATGACTGAATGAGTTACCATAACAGAGATTAATCACCAAATTATTTTAAATATTTGTTCCTAACACCACAAAAATCACCACTTTTCAGTGAAACAAACTGCATTTGTTCCTATTAAACCTCTAACAAATTGGCCATCTTTATCTTATAGGCTTTATATTTGTTTTATTTACCCAGGCAACCAGAACATAGACTGTACCCATAAAATCCACACAAACACATACACACACTCCTGTCAGTCCCTGTGTAGAAATAAAGAGACTGGCAGGCAGTGACCCAAGTCAAACAATACTGTAATGAGAGAAAATAATGTGTCATCCATTGTGTAGCTACATGACCACATACAGAGTCAGACCAGACAACTGTAATCAGAGTTGATCCACTTACTGTGTAGATCTGTTTTAATCCTGTTGTTCATCAAAGCTGCTGGTACAGAAAAACATCTAATTTACTAGATTGCGTTTGGGCCACCATAAAACTAAAAACGAGGCCACTTTAAGACTCAAATGTCCACTCAGACACCGGGTTTAGTGTCTTATTATCCCAGTTAAAGTTACACAATATGAAAATTATACATACATGACCAGATAAAACTTTTAAAAGCAGCGTGTTTAAGCTGCAGGATACCTCAACGACACAGGATGGTCCGCTCAACTTTCCTCTTCTCTCTTCTGTGATCCGGTTAGTTGTTTTTCCTCCCAGAGATGCCTCTTTTTTATAGTAATCTCAACCCCTTCGAGCTCATAGTTGAGTATAAAGTGTTGAGTTTGTGCTGAACGGAGCTGAAGTCGATCCGCGGAAGTTGAGGGGGAGCAGAAGACCGGACCCGCTGCTGACTCAGATCCCTGGATTTTCTTTTTTTCTTTCCTCCCACATTTTCTGTGCTCGGTCCCCTGCTGGAGGAAGAGAGGAATAGGAAAGAACAAATGTCTATCTATCTATCTATCTATCTATCTATCTATCTATCTATCTATCTATCTATCTGTCTAATATGTCTGTCTATC